AGTTGACATATCCCGTTGTGTTCACAGAATGCAACGTCCTTGAAAAATCAATAAAGTCATGCTCTGGAAAGGATTTGAATAAACCGCAAGGGGTCAACAGTGATAGATGCAACAAGTGTGTTTCATGTGTTGGGACATTTGTGTCCAAATGCTGTTCGAGTTTGGAGGAGGCTGTTGTCGGAAGATAGATAACTGCTACGGATATGTAAATTTCATTACAATGGTAATCTCCAACGCCTTGTTTCTTGTGGTATTCCTTTCGGCTTAAGACTGGCATTTCCTCCAGTTTTTATGCACAGTTTGAATTGGTCATTCTCACCAGGACTCTTCTGCTTATGACCTTTGAGACTCTGCGCCTTCCATTCCAGTGGTACCTTCATTTGATAGATGATTCTAATTCTACTTCTGTTTGAGTGGGCATGGAGAATTCGTTTGTACACCACACTGCTGACATCATCACAATGATCAAGACCGGAATGAAAAATGTTTTCACTGATTTGAAGTTCCCTGCTTTCTACTCATGTTGATAACAGTCTCATTGTCCATACACACGTTTGATCACTTTTCCTCACTCCAGCACTGAATTGTGCTGCGATCCTATGGACTAAAATTCATCATTATATAAACGGCCAGCTAACTGTTACATCCTTGGCAGATTCATGTTGAGATCTCTGTTTGAATTCACATAAGAACAAATTCAGAGGCGAGCAATTGTTTTCATCGATTGGTCTTCTAGCCTGTACAGATCAAATAGGAAAATGGCATTTTGAACGGGAATAGTCATTCAGTCATTCAAAAGTCACGGTGATCGATTGGAAGGGAGAGGAATGGGGTGGGGATGGGGGGATGGTGCGACGTGTTTCACGCCCCTAGATGATCACCACAACACTGCAATGAAACTGTGTGATGCGTCATCCGTGCGATCGATCTTCGGCCACGGCGGTTGAACGGCATGGGTATAGAGTGTGAAAACGTAACGACTTGGAATGGAGAGGTGGTAGTCGATAGATGAATTTGAAGGCTGATTCAGGCTTCACTTGGTGACCCGAGTGTGCTAAGTGAGCAAGAAAAGCGCTCCTTGTGATACGTTTTCCACCGTGTTGAATTCACACATTGTTTTCACATTGACTAATTCGACCTCATGCATCTGTGCTTATTCATCTAGCTAACTAGACATCCCGTTAGTGATAGCATTTGACATCGTTTTACATGAAATTCAAATCTCACGCGCCGTGTCACGAAATGCCATTTTCCACGTTGAAACTTGGACCACGCGTTTTGTATTATTATTTATCATCATCATCATCATCATCATCATCATCATCATCATCATCATCATCATCATCATCATCATCTCAACCACGACCGCTGCGGAAATTCCTGTCAGCCTATCACCCTTGCCTTTACTTTTACAGCCAGACATTGGAGATTTGACACTGTTCTCTTGTCGTAATTCTCACCTTGGACGCATTTACTAACGTCTGAATCCATCACGGCCGCGCCTAATTTGGATGTCTTCAACCGGGTACGTTACCTCTTTTGTGTGGATCAATGCTGTTCATATTGGTGTTCGGCGGATTTGAAATTTGTATGGCTATAATGGCCTCGTGGCTCAGCTGGTAGAGCGTGCGCTGTATAAAAGCGTAGGCGGTGTCCATGCGTTGATGTGAATCTGTGGTGATCCAGGTCTATGAAGTGACAACCCGGAGCGAAGCGTTACAACTTTTGATCGACTGCGATGGATCAAATTTCAAAGGTGATGTCAAAGAAGCGCGTACGTGTCAGTGCTTTTGACTACACACCGTGGGCAGATCATACCAACCAATCCGAGACAGTGCAGTCCAGACAGAAGGAGAACGATGCAAGCAATACTGGGACGCGATTAGTAGAAGCCTGGATAGCCAATGAACGTGCTTTGTACGTATTATTTAATTCCATTATTTCTTCCAATAAATGAATTACTATTCCTGTGGCCTTTTCCTCGCATCTCAGTTACGTGGGATATTGCTTGCTAGTGACAGTACGGTCCCATACTTACGTGATCCATTCAGTCCGTGACTGCTATTTCTTGATTCGTATTTTGTGATCCGCATTGCATGGTTCGTGTTCCGAATTCCATGCATAGCAGTACTACTACCATTAATACAATCACTACAGAGTCCCATCGAGGCTACTGAACTTTTCACAATGCTGATGATGAACTGTGTTTCATCGTCTGGTTCAACTCAGCATTTAGTCTGCTTTCAAAGTCAAAGTTTTATTATGGGAATAACTTACAAGCTCGTGCTTCTCTTGTCCCATAGGATATTGACACAGATGAATCGTTACTCACCGAAAAAGAAGTCACATAGAGTTCTGAGTTGGAGATAATAGAGAATGTAGGCTACAGTGAATTTCCGTTTGCTTTTTGTGGTGTACGAATGTGAGTTGGGCCAAGGTTTCATCGAGTCTGTGCTTGAAAGATTCAATAGTGGGTACACTGAAGCTCCTGTGGTGTTTGCAAATTTCTTGTCCGCTGTTCAGGTAAGTTCGTTTCGCTCGCTCGCTCTCGTTCGATCGATCGAATACTTTAAATCAGTGGTTATGCTGTGTAGACCTGTGTAGACACATTTGTCTTGATGATTCATACAACCCTTACTGTTTCACTGTCAAGGTATGTTCTGCAGATACCATTGTTTGGTTTACTTGCATAGGGATACCGAGTCCAATCAGTAACGAAACCAAACGGTGTTTCTTTTTCTATATTATAGTTCGGTCTGGTTTGTGAGAATCGGGAATCGGGTCGTGAATAACGGGAAGTTTGTGTCAGTTACTCTACGATTGATCACTAAGTGTCTAAACCTGCCTGTTCGTTTGAACCGGCTGATTCGCGCTGTTTATCAGACAAGGCCAATACATGATGAGGGGTAATGCATCACTTGATCCCAGTGGACTTCAGCTGCTGGATTCACATTGCCCATGGATAACACCCAATTGGGTCCAAACAACTGTACAGTGTTTCATAGTTTTGCAATTCACTCTTTATTTACACGACGAATTCATCCTGTAGTATATAGTACTTCTTGGCTATATGACTGGCTAGCTGGAATGAAGTTAAGGAACGAAGATAAGCCCTGAAGAATAGTAAGTCTAAGTAGAGGTTTATAATAAGGTTAGTTAATGTCGTATTCTAATATTCCTAAATAGCTTTAGTCATTCTCATATATGCATCCCATGATGCGATAGCCGAGCATCGTTTACAATGAACGACTGCAATTGATATGGATTTTCCTAACCGAAAGCAAGATGAGTGCGACACTTGCCACACCAGCTTGCAAGAATGGGTTGTGCTTTGTTGTGCATATTCGAAATGAGAAAAAAATTGATCAACCGCCTGTGAGTAGCGTGTTTGCGTACTGCTTGTGAGGTTCGCGGATCGATCCCTTGTTGGGTCGATACATTTGCATTGCTGATGAGCCTCAAACAGATCAAAATCGCTATCCAGTGTTTCCTAGCCTTTCCATTCACACTTTTATTATTTTTTGCATCAATAAACGTTCTTCAGTGAACGCAACCTCTGCCTCTGATTGATGACTTTAAACCCAATGGACAAATGGGCAGGCGTGTGTTTGAATCCCACGACTAACAGTACTGAGCACTATCCAGTTTTGTGCGCTACCATGAAGCCGTGTGATTGGACGCCTCAGTGTTTCCGGAAAAAGGGAAAGAAAACAAAGTCGGTAAAGCCGTTGTCATTTTTTTAACAATCATATTCTCTCTATATGGTCTTTGACATTATGTCTGCCAATCTCCGACTCGTTATATTATTTTTAGCATGTGGACATACAAGTTTTTGATATCACCGTTTGCGAGAAGTGAGTACTCACCCACAAAATTATGCCTGTCTGTGGTGATCCTAGTCTACGGGATGACGCCAACCACGGAGAGACGCGTTACAGTTTGTGGACAACTGTGATGAGTCATCGCTCTCAGTTGACGCCAGCGCAGCGTCCACGCGTAACAGCCTCTGGACAACGAACCACAGGCCGATCATGCCGACCAATCAGAGGCAATGAGATCCACGCAGTAGCTGTATCACTATTGGTGGATATTTATGTAACTAATACACTTCCTTTGTATATCTTATTTAATCCCATTAATTTCTGTCAATAAACGAACTGATACTTCTGTGGCCGATTCCTTGCGTGAGATACCAGCGTGCAAGTGCTAGTGCGATTCAGTTTCAGCAGCATCCGTGATTTATGATTCGTAATTTGTAATTCGTGATCTGTACCTACTTCGACTATCACACGGTTCGCTGGAGATACAAACAATTTTGAGCACGTGAATCGGCAGACCACTGTTTCGATATAAAATCATGCTCAAAATGCAAGCTAACTAGTAATGTTTAATCAATTAAATTGACTTGTCGTTTATAATCGATTGGGGGTTCATGATACATGAAACCGAATCTTTGTGAGTGATAAAGCAACACGTAGACGATGGGACTGCAACGCTTTTGGCTCTAAGTTTGACTGTTCTAAGCGTCCTGGGAAGGGAAGCGCTTTTGGGGTAAAAACTGACACCGCTCGCCTAGTTTGTATGGTCGAAAAAACTCTAGTCTTTCATTCGGACAGCCGAAATTCAGACTGTTGTCTGTTCTATATAAAAGTAACGCTGCACTAGAAAGTTTGGATCCATTTCATTTCTGTACACCCCAATAAAGTGTATTTCATAGCAGCTAGGCACTGAATCGAGTCGTACAAATAGATTTAATTACAGAACCTTAATCTGATTGGTGGTCTGCGATGCTCTCGTGCCCATTTTATTCGGAAGACACGCCGTGAATTTGAGGTACAGATAGAAAAAGAAATTATGCAAGAGAAAAATAGTAATCGATTGACCAGTTTAGAAAAACATTTTATCACAGTACAGAGAGGATTGATAAAAGGTTTTCGTTCATGGATGGAATGGGTGGCACACAGGCTCAGTCATGTTTCGGTTAAATGAACCTCTCTAATTTATACTTTTTCGGCAGACAGTTCGAGCAAGTTCTGTTCTCCCTCGAGAGGATTTTCATCAGAACCACACGTTGGAGTCATATCACTTGTCTGAGGCGGTTGATCTTGTTCGTCCTGCTGCGGTTGTGGTTGTACTGTTGTTGTTGTTGTTGCTGGTGGTGGTGCTGGTGGCGTCAGCGGGTAAACCTGTTTTAACAGAAAACTGCTGGCACTGTGTGTGGCACAACACTGGGGATCGGATCGAGCCCCATTGTATGAAGAACAGGTTGCCATTGGCATCAGGCAACAGGAATTACAACCTGGCAACGATCGATGAAATCGTTTTTCATGATCACAACGTGCACACTGTGTGAACGGAGGCGGTTGATTTATTGTGTACGAAGAGGTCTTGTTATTGTACGGGAGCACCGCGGTTCTATGATGCACACACGGATCGTACAACGAATGCGCGGTGCGCGAGAACTGCGAATCTGCTAATGCGGAAGTAGGTAGCTTATTCTCTCCGGGGAACGCTGTCAGAAGTCGAGTGGATTGAAATGAACGTTTATGTCCGCGACGGAGACAGTTGGCCAACTTTCCATTCGTGCTGGAACTGCTTCGGAATGATCGCATGCCACGACTTGTGTTAGACGAATAGCATCGACTTCGTTTATTCATTGGTGTGTACGGAGCGGGAGCAACCTTATACTCCAACTCACGTCGAAGCTCATTGGTCCGGGTGTCCCGCTCCCAGGAATCCATACTTTTGGAATGTTTACCCAAAAATAAAGATATTAAAACCTTTGAACGACAAGTGCGCACTTGTTTGTACAACCGTCTGAACGTACGTTTGGTTGTTCGACGAAAAATTGTGGATACGAGGAAGTAGAGAAAAAAATTCAATGCGCAACCCAACAGTTGGACCACATTTGTCCATTCGACAGTCAAATTGAGCGCGGTATACAACTGCCGAGCCGCTTGGTTATTCCGTACCCGAACACCCAATTTGCGCATCAATTGCAAACAAACAAAATGTACAATACCGAATGGCGCGGTGAACAGGAGAAACGCAATGATCACGGCCAAGAGAAGTGGAGTGACTCTATTTGTGGCGCTGTTTGGATAGCGTTGAATGGATACCCGTAGCGGAGCCACAGATGGTGGATTGAATAAAAATACTCCTGTTTGTGCGAATGGAAGATCGCGGGGACTGTAGGGTCGAGTCGGATTTGGACCGAGCTGCGGNGCGGTTTGAATAGAATTCGTGGAGGTAAATTATCAATCAGACCGGACAGACCAATATCTCGATTGGTCAGAGATGAGCCAACAAATGAGCGACGACATGCATCACTTCGACGACATGCACGGATCACAGCGATGTTTGAGATGAGAACACCAATAAATGGTCCAATATTGGTGAGCACAATATTGACAACGTGATAGCCAATATAAATCGCTTCTGATCTCCAAAATGATCTTTCAAATACAAAGATGGCCAAACTGGTGTCACATTCCATTGTTCGATTTGTTCCGACTGATCGATCGACTGTCTGATTACTGGATCGACATTTGGTCACACTCGATTTCTGTAATGCACTTTCTTCCTCGTATGTGAACATCAGAAACGAGGGGATGTGAAATACCAACGCAACCACATAGATCCCCAAAATCACCCGAAACATGTGTCTCGGAGTTAACCAAGTCCTAGACGTGAGCGGACGACACACGGCCATGTATCTGACCACGCTCATCAACAGTACCATCCAAACACTGACCGCCAAGAAGTAGGTAACCAATCCAGGACCAATCAGGGTGTAAAAGAGCATAAAAGAGTAGGAATCGTGTCTTCGTTGCACATAGCCCAACGGTAGTGAGGCGAGACAGACCAGAAAATCGGCCAATGCCAAGCCGAGCAGATTTACACGGGCCGTGCACTCCCCACCGCAAGCGATTTGTGTCGTGTGATAGGAGTATAACACGAGCAAATTTAACGCGTTCCCAACCAGTCCAATACAGGCAATCAACAGTAATAGAATTGGTAATATGGATAATTGAACGGTGGTCCAAGCAGTCATACTGGTTGTCGGACGAATGTAGGTACTATTCGTTAGATTTACCCCATCTGAGAGGGAACACGATTTGGACGCACAATCCAGAATGGGTACATGGCTGGATAAGTTTGGTGCATCCGCGGGAACTGGTAACGAATCGGTGGAGGAAAAATTGGTATGAAGTATTCCATCCTTGAACAACTGGTTAAGTGCATGGACAATGGAAAACATCGGTAGTATTAGTAGCGTTATTCCAGTTGATCGTAATCTGAAATAAAGGAGAACAGAAAACAACTAATAAAAGTTTGAAAATCGAAGAAATTTAATAACGTTAGTCAATTTCAAGTTAAAATTACCTGTGAGAATCCTTCAGCTGTTGCTTACATCCTAAATCCAAGCTTCGTACCCAGAAGCACCGCGTTAGATTTTAGTTTCCGGAAGACTAAGTCAGTTGTGCTCATATACTGAGCTATCCCGCCCGGATTCGAACCCTGAATCCCTTCACTCGGAGTGCACGTTTGTTTCCATCGTGCTAACCGGCGCAGGGACGGGTGTTCGTAAATACTGATTATCTTATATACATCTGTATTGTTCACGATAATAAACACACCTTATATGCGAAAGGGTCTACCGTTCAGTTTTCACAGTGTTCCACTTAGCTATAATACAGATAAATTACAAAACAGTGAAACTGAAAGTTTATGAGTTCTGTGTGCTCAAAACGTCCAGACAACATGTACAGTAGTGTTTGTTTTATTACACACCCACGTGTGATGAACAGCAGACGTGGCGAACCCCATAGTCAACAGGACCTGCTTTTCAGTGGTGGAAACCAGGAACCTAAGCCCTGTAACTTGGGGTGGCGAACTACATAAGGCCCCGATAGGTCAGGCGTGATATTGAAGCGGACGACAGTAGAGCTGCCTACCACCGAAGTCGGGTGGCGGTTGCGGGCTCGAACTGCGGACCATAGAGTTCAAAGCAAGCGACTTCACCAGTGTTTGTAACGATAAACGAATCTTTGCTTGGTTGAGTAGTATAGCAGACTGTAAAATTAAATTAGGAGATTTTAGAAGCTTCCGGGTAGAGTACAACCACAAAATACGTGAAACTATGCAGACATTCATGTGTCGATAAGGGTATACAAAGCTCAATCAGTCCAAACTTCCAGACGTTGAGTAGCGCTTGGAGTGAATACGTTTCTCCAATAGAGAACCAATGTCTCGGTACACCATCCCACAGTACATAAATATCCTCGAGTGTAGTCTATGCGGAAAAGAATCGAATAGACAACGGGATCTTTTTATTTGTGGAATATAGCTCTTGTTCGGATAGATCTAAATAAGACGCGATCCCAGTAGATCCGACAAAACATGTATTTTTTTTTAAAAAGTGAATATTTCAATCTTTCATGTAGGAATGTATCACTGGTGACCAGTTGGTAAATATCGATTTCGGGAACCCTACTCGTCCTTTGCACCAGAATTCGGGGTCAGAATGGAGAGAGGCACTGAGAGACACTTCCTTTCGAAAGTAAAGGAAACAATCTTTACCATGAAGCCGTAGAAAAGGTAAGTTATGTTGGTCTTCCCGTGGGATTGAAACAGTTGATACGGGTGACTTTTCCTCCGACAGAATGTTTATCAGCATCCTTTATTCACTGAGCAACTTTGGTGTTCAGCTTTGTGGATTTTTTTCGAAAAAAACGATCATTTCGTTTGTTCACCAAATCGGAATTTATGTGCATGAAAGTTTTATCACGATTCAAAGCATGAGATACAAAAAGCACTCAGCTAGAAACGATATTTTAAATGAAGAAACCAAAGAACAAAACGGAAATGATTTTCTACTAGCTTATTAAAAACCACTAACTGCATTTAATTAGGCAACAATCGCTTTGAATGCATTTGGTTTCTAATAGTGTTGATGGTTTAGTCGCTGTCACCGGCATAATTTGAACCCTGTAGTTCGAGATTCGAGCCCTGCCATCGCCACCCGACTTTGGTGGTAGCAACTTTGTTATCGTCCGGTTCTATCACGCCTGATCTAGCGAGATCTTATGTGGTTCCCTAATCCAAGTCTCGGGGCTTAGGTTGTCGGTTATCATCGTTGAGCAATAGGTCTTCGTGACTATGGAATCCACCCCGTCCGCTATTCATCCCACAGTGGTGTGTAATAAAGAAGAAATATGCAAACTAGAATCGGCTTTGCAAATTTTGGGAGTGTTTCTTTATATTTAGAATAAAACATTTCGGATGGTGTTTGTCGTCCAGATAGCGATTCCACATATGGTAAAATGGAACATGTCAGCAGGCAAACAGGAACTCATTTGGTGGTCAGTACACGTGCTTATTCATTTTGAAGAAACGAGGGCACGGGGGAATGGATATGAGATACTACGGGCTGAATGGACAGTTTTCGAATGATTGTCATCTGAGTTTCGGCTTCCCATGTTCTGATTAGTTGTTGTCCCAGAGAGTAGACTGATTCCCTGGACAAACTTGCACGAAACAGAAGAAAACCACAAATAAGTTTCAAACAATTGGAATACTAAGCGGTGTGCTTGGCTTGGTAACACTAAAACAATATCATTGGTCACTGTAATCGGACAGGTTTTGAGGATCTGATATGCCTAGGGCGGTGGTGGTTATGTCACCAACTTGTGACCTGAGAGTCCCTAGTGTTCGAAACGCTCCACCACCGCCCGGGCGGCCTTTGTATGGCTGCGGTCCCCCCCCACTTCTTGAATGCTAACTGCACATTTGTATCTTTTAAGTGTTGCTGCGGTTCTGTGATTTGGTTATCATTGGTTTCCTTCTGTAAAACATTATTATTTAAAGGGCTGATCTCGATCCTCAATACGCGTCACTCGGTAGTTATTGTATTTTAGGCGTTCGGGTGCCAGTAGCAGTTCCTTTGTTTCCCGCAGTGATCAAGTGACTGACATTTTATGTTTCATAAAGAAGACATTCACTATTCATAAGGAACTTCCCCTTATAAAATATTTGATAAATTTCGTGCGTGATTTCAAGTCCCACTCAATCTCATGATGCTTTCACATTTATAACATACCGAAGTAGAATTGTGTCAGATGACCTACAACTTCTTTGGGGGTTTTCTGAACATGATCTTCAACCGAAGCGCTTGTTTAATAACTAGACACGCAATTTTTTCAAACAAGATTTGTTCGACTTTCAGCGATCAAGAACAAATAAATGTCACATTTTCACCAGATTCCCCCGAAATACTGAACCCATGCTGGCAAATTAAGTTGGATTTTTTCCAGCTTATGTAGTGTTTACATGTGTTTACTACATCTGGTACACTTCCAAAAGATCAGTGCTGGTTCGAGGAGAACTGTTTATCAAGAACCACATTTAGGGTATGGATAATCTGATCTGCATATGACAAACTGTATCATTTTGAATATGTCATCACAATTATCGGGCAGCGCACACGATAATGAGTGGGACAGTTTGAAGTTATCTTTCTGAGCATAGAAATGTGCTCTAAGAGGTCATGAACGTATTGGAATGTTGTGAAAATCCACCAATCTCATTCCTTTGCGTAATCCAAACGTACTACTCACAAATGTGAGTAGGATCTCACAACACATTCATTCAAAAACACAAACACAATTACACTTATACACTGCAATTTGTCAATCTGATCGGATATTCTTAGGTATCGCAAGGAGTTTGGAAGAATGAGCTGTGATTGTTAGGTTATAGCATTCATCGCTAATTGCATCGTTTACTATTAATGTCTGGGAGTGAATACATGTTCGCTGTTTACTTTTCCACACATACACTAGAGCATAAATGACACTATGAATTCGTCTACCTTTAATCCATTTGGCCACAGTGAATCAGCCATCAGAATGAACATGTATGCACTCAATCATTCTCCGCTTACCGGCTCTTTATCTCACCATACGTGCCGTTCTCCTTCCAGGACAGTTGTTCTCTTGTTTGTAAACTGATCTGCTTGGGTGCTTCTGCAACTGCTTGCAAAGCACTGTTCAGCTAATGTTTTGTTATACAGGGTAACCCCAGAGTAGCGAAAAGCGGCTGTTCAACTATAGAACTCGGTATCTTAAACCCCATGACTTGGATGGACGAACTACAAAACTCCCTACCAGGTTAGAGGCGGTAATGAAAAGAACAATAGCGGCCACTGAAGTTGAGTGGTGGTGCTGATGGTGGTCGGGTTCGAACCTTGCAGTCAAGGGTGACAGAACCACACTGTACCACTGCCACCCAAACAACGTGCAGATTAGTCTAGTAGCTATTGTATCGCATGAACGAGTGAATATTCAACCACGAGCTGTGAGGGAACAATCATGAACATGGTCACAAAATATCCCTGTGGCAATTCAGTTTGAACGGGTTGTGGTTATGTATCACATCAAAAAATAAAAGTGTCTAAGAATGATGAATTTGGAATAACCCATTCGATTGTTTGCAGGTTTCAGGCACTGTTTATAGCCTTGGTTTTGGGTTTGGCTCCTTGGGAGATCAATAATTCCCTTCCAGTTGTATGCGTTTATAAGTGATCGAAAGATTTGTGATGACCAAAAACGAGCGCCGGACAGAGGTGTTTCGTCCTGTTCGGAACTCGTCAGCAGTATCCTTGCTAGGACTCAAACCGTGAATATTCGGGTTGGGGGTTTGAACCCTGAGATCACCTGACAACACGTGACCACATAAGTGAACGCTACCAGTGACATTTATATCCGGTGTGATGAGTAAATGGTGCCGTCCATTTTGAGGAAGCTAGCAGCCTTCAGTTGGATACAATCAGGTCTCCGAAATACCACTCACGAAGAGAAGTTTACACCCGTGTTAAGAAATGAACACTGGTGATCAAACAACATTTATAAACACAAGATTGCCTCGAGATTGTGTGTAGTCGATCCGAAACATCTTCAAATGATCTCTTTTGACAGTCCTGAAAATCGTTCTCATTTTTATGCATGTGCCAAGTGAATCTGGAAGAATTACTGCTAAAGGATGATTCATAAGTGGTTTCCATCGCTTGATTCCCTCGCGGATGTTACCCAAAATAGTGCTTCACTGATATTCATAACTTTATTTAGTTTTCCGTCTGTGTATTATAAATGAGAAGATATCATTTCGGACCATTCTTTCAGCCTTGCGAGATATCATTTCAGATTGTTCCCGCTCCAAATGATCACACAGGAATTTGAACACCTCATTTCGAGCCTCACA